CTCCTGCTATTATCAAAATATCCGCGCGCGCGTGTATATGCACACGCCTGCACCGCACAAACATGTGTAACTCCCCACACGTACGCACAAACACACACACGCACACGCACGCACGCACGCACGCACGCACGCACACACACACACACACACACACACACACGTATCCTGGAGGGATGTAATGTCTTTGCTATATCGCGATATCGGCATATGCATCCCAGATCAGCTGCTATTGAGGATACTATATTTGTTTTCCCACCTACCGAGAAATAAAGTAATGAAACAGAGTTTTTGGGGCAGACAGTTAGTTCCATGTTGGAACATTAGATATAAAGATACTGACACGTATCTGAATCAGTTGGATATTTTGTGAACACCACAGTAATCGCAAGATATAACAAGTGCCGCAGAGCGACAGCGCTCATCTAACGTCTACTGTGGTGACTCTGCTGGCTGGAGTGGTGGATCTAGTAAACCCTGTTAGTCCCAAATGTGTCACATAAACGCCGCGAAACAGTGGAATCACAGGGATGGTATCAGGAACCTTCTCAAAGAATGTTCGTCGGATCGTTATGAAAGTTGCCACGAGATGGCGGCGTACGTTAAAGTGTCTCAGATTAAGATGGAAGCTCCATCATACGTAGTAGCAACAACTATCTGCAAGACAGAATAGGTAAGCACTCATCCATTTACCTACGCAAGCCTACAGGCTGCAATAGAGAGCTGCCACCTGTAACCAATTAACTCAGGCAAAAACTCCACAGTACCCCAACACATGCACTGGCAGTAGCACTGGCAGTGGCATACGTTACACGTAACAATACTGACAGTACGAATGCCATAGAAATTATACGATTTAATGAGCATAAACCTTTTTTAACCAAATTTAGCTTTTGAAATTTCCATGTGACATTGTAGCCTCATACATCCAGGCATGTATAGATTTACTAGCAAACCGGCAGTCAAAATTCTTTCTAACAGACAGTCAACAAATCCATGTTTAACCCTCCTCTTGAGGGTTAAAAGGTTATCTGACACTTACTCTTCGCATGTCAGCAGAAAGTAGATTTCATGGTCCTTTCAATAATGCCATAAAAATGCTAGGGTCACCGCTGAAACAAAAAAGTTTTTCATCGCTCCGTCAGACCATGTCCTCAGAAAAATGCCTAAAATCTGCCCTGTGCCCATTGACCTTGACCTGTGAACCTCCAATTCGGCACAGTGATGGTTTTCCTACCATGATGCCTATACACGACTATTCACGAGCCTAGGTCGAGCCGTTTAGATTTGTGCCGCAATTCTGCATTTCCTCCCTATACCTTAAGTTAAGGAGTGAATGTTCCCCCTTCTTTTACACCTCTTGACCTTTGACCTTGGACCGCCCAGCTTCGACATCCAACTCGTTTTCGGATTACCCCCCCAGTCGCCGAATATCGTGACCGTCTCGAGCGGTTAAGATTCTGTGCCCAACTTGTTCGACGACCGACGGACGGACGCACGGACGATCATGCGATTCTACAAGCTGCGATCTGACTATTAGTCCAGTTGCAGAATAGCGAACAAGAAATTTTTAATAGTTCAAGGTTTTTTTATTGATATGTATTCATATCCATGTCTGAACATTTTTAGCTTTGTTGGCACAACGCCAACTTGGGGAACATTTTTAATTAGCTAATTTGCATAATTGACATGGCCAAATACAACTTTTTAACTAATAGGCTTAGAATCATGTGTGATAGCTCTTTTCTATATAGGGTTGACCAGTGAATCCATTTCTGATGTTACTTTCGCATTAAAGTCAGGATCAACCTATAAAGTCAAGGTAAGTCAAGGTCACTTTGGCTTAAAATTCCCTAATTTCACTTACACAGCTATAACTGACTGAAAATTATGTGTTGCTGTGAAGGTATATTGAGTCCTCCGTATTGATTGTTGATGATAGTAATGTATTATATCATTGTGATAATTAAAATAATGCCTGGACCATATGGGGTCAAGGTTACAATATGGGGTCAAAATACAACTTTAACTAATGGACTAGAATCATGTGTTAGACACTTTTCTACACAAGTTGACTCAAGGAATCCATTTCTTATGTTATTTCGCAGTAAAGGTCACGTTTAACCTATAAGGTCAAGGTCAGGATCACTTTGGTTCAAAATTGACGAAATTCGCTGAATTCCGTAAAGCCAACAATTGCCACCATCGGAACTGTCCCTAATATTAATGTGGATGATGGTATCGGTTCAAAGTAGTTATATTATTATTTGATAAATTCTATATAATGTATGGGCCATATGCGGATCACTGTCTTGCATTAGAGGTCAAGGTAAAATCACTAAATTTATCAATATTAAACATTCACAATAATTATGTGTTTATTTATCATTTTAAAACACATTTTTTAAGTGAAATATACTCCACCCTATACTTTTACTGCTTTATAAACATGACAGTGTAGAGCGTAGTCAACGTACACGTCAGGGCGTCCCTACAACAGTCAGTAAAGCAACCAACCTTGTGAACAAATTATGCAAATAAATATATTTAGACGAAATCAAAATGACCAATAGATATTTAAACATCAAGAAACATGACTATTGCACACATAAATTTTGTGCGTGATTTGAACTCAGATGTTCTGTGAGTTCTTGTTCTGAAAATCAACCCTCCAGCTCATCGTCTTCTTGCTCCGATCTTCATAATCACACTCATGCTCGTCATCCTTATCATCCGCCTCTTTCTTGGTGAATGTGTTGCAGCACGCATCACCGACTGTGCAAGCCAGTAGTTTGTCAGCTGAGTTTTTCAACGGAGGTGCAGCCTACATTTAGCTTCTGTTGCATGCACCCCCATTGCTCGACAGCATCAGCAGATCAACATTCATCAGAAGCGGTGGTCCCAGTGTGCCACTATCATGCAAGGACAAGGTATCCCATCCTAGGGTCCTGAGATGGAAACATCTGAGGAGACCCTAATGTTCGGCAAGCCTTCCAAAGGTGGGCACGACGCACATGGTGTAGAGATTTCTGTCTGGTTGCGGCGAGTAACATGATGCGCAGGTGGTTTCCCACGTTTACGGCGTGTTATAGATTGTAGCGAGCATGATCATGGAGGTGCCTGCAGGTTGTCCATACAATGCCTGCAAAGAATTGCTGCCCAACGCCATCAGGTCCGCATCAGTGGCACCCTCTTTACTCAACACGTTCAACAACACTGCTCATCCTTCTTCTGGGCACGATGCAGGCTTTCCTGGGTATGAATGACTTCTTTAAACTTGGCCCGCTAGACATATGTGGGAGAGAGCAGGTGGGTGCTCCTGTTTCTCACCAGTGTCGTTGCAATAGAGCCAATCCGGCATCACCTGCTTCAGGAGATCGAGGGTGAAGCTGCAGGCTCTTTCAAAGACGGGGTATTATCAGGTTTGATATGCTTTGGCCGCGCACAAAGCCTCATGATGATACCACGATGGATGAGATTGCTGGAATTCGTGTGCCATGGCGTGTGTGTCCTTCCGTCCATTGGGGGTGTAGATGTGTAGGTCGGGAGGCTGTCCCATCCATCCAAATATGACATCCAGATATGACCCCCCCCTTTTTTTCCAGCCCCATAGCCTGATGTAGCGCCACACTGTTGGTGCCGCTCAAATGCGTGGCAAACGCTTACGCGAAACGCAGAGGATGTTACATAGCTGTGATGCAACAATTCTTTTATCAATTCTGAGCTTCCGTGCAGTGTGATGGATCTTGACAGCTAGACCCAAAGTGGTCTGGTTGTGGCCAGCAGTGATGTGACTTTGGATCGACTGGGCCAGGCTGAGGGACTGCTTAGTTACCTCATTATTTGACACAAGTTCTAATACGAGACGCAGTAGAGTATGGCTGGTCTGGGCTAATGATGTGCTATGGGGTAAAGTTACCAAGATCGTAGAAGAGCGGTTGTTCGATTTCGTTACTTCCCGTGCCTCTTTCTGCACCTGGGGGATGACCATGATGCGTTACTCTGTGATCAGATAGGCTATTGTGACGGAATAAATTGGCTAAACGATATCCCGTGGCTTTCATCTTGTGGTTTATGATAACACTCTATCACATTGTACCTGAAATGATCATTATGGTGGCAATTTTGGTTTACGGAAAATTCAGCGAATTTTCGTCAATTTGAACCAAAGTGATCCTGACCTTGACCTATAGGTTAAACGTGGCCTTTAACTGCCGAATATAACATCAAATGGATTCCTTGAGTCAAACTTGTGTAGAAAAGTGTTATCACACATGATTCTATGTCCATTAGTTAAAAAGTTGTATTTTGACCCCATATTGTAACTTGACCCTCATATGGTCCGAGGCATTATTTTAATTTTATCAACAATGATAATAATCATTACTATCATCAACAATCATACGGGACTCAATACACCTTCACAGCCAACACATAATTTTCATTCAGTTACCGTTGTAAGGGAAATTAGGGGTAATTTGAGCCGAAGTGACCTTGACCTTACTTTATAGGTTGATCCTGACCTTTAATCGCGAAAGTAACATCAGAAATGGGATTCACTGTGTCAACCCACTAGTATAGAAAGAGCTATCACACATGATTCTAGGCCTATTAGTTATAAAAGTTGTATTTGCCATTTAATTATTGCAAATTAGCTAATTAAAAATGTCCCGCAAAGTTGGCGTTGTGCCAACAAAGCTAAAAATCTTCCAGACATGGATATGAATACATAATCAAGTAATAAAACCTTGAACTATTAAAAATTTCTTGGTTCACTATTGAAAGGATACGGCCCGCAACTAGACTATATGTCAGATGAGCTAAAAAGTTGTCGGCTAAGCTTGAGTACACATATTTTATCCTATTTCAACATCTAATCAAAAGAGAACGCACCAAGTGTGTTTAGTGTAAAAACATTTCATGTGTAGTCTGCCATTCGTAAAAAGGTTATGTTTGCCATGTGGGAAAGTTGAACCGTTCAACTTTAATAAAGAATTACCAAGTTTTCACATAAAGATTACGAGTTTAATATTCAAGCTTGCACAATATGTACACAGTTTGCAATGTACAATACACACTGCTTAGAATCATCTCGAATGTTAAGAGTGAATGGTGCTGGCAGGCCACTTGCGAGTATTCTAATTACTTTATAGTACTAACAAACAAGCTTAACAAGAAACACTATACAGCATAAGCCCATAATAACGCTCGCGATACACATTCTCCAAAAAACGCAAACTTCCCCAAAACAATGTTTCGCATTTTCTTTATTAGGGGTGTAGAAGTGGCATCGACCACATATTAGGAATAATAAAACCCGCTTTTGGATGTATAATTAAACAACACAAAATAAATTACACTTCTAAATAAACAACACAAAATAAATTACACTTCTAAATAAACGTTAATATAATAAATTAAACATGGCCAAAGATACGAGAACGTAACAGATTCCACATGCCTCCGTTGATACTACGTGTTTAATAATGAAATCTATGATTTTTACGTACGAGTCATTAATTCTCACGTTATAAAGTTGATACATGAATTGCAACTTTTTATAATGGCAGACAGTAGAAAATCAGCAAATTCTGACAAATTATATAAATTAGCTTCATCTCAATGTGACCAATAACGCATATGAGGACTATTATCTGGAAACATACCAGCTCTTGGTAAAGGCAAACATTTGCCTAAATTGTAGATTAATTTGAAGACATTCGCGAATACATCTAACGTTAGGAGTACAGAAGACTACGATAAACGACTAGATAATCTCTCGACATCTCCAGAGAATTGCTATTATGTAACTCTGCTAACACTCTGAAATATGAATTACGGGTTGATAGATCAGTTGCCTAATAATAGATTTAAAATTTCACACACTCAAGGCCACAGTATTTTTACGTGTGCAGAATCATCCAAACTGTGTATGGTGACACAAACAAAGCATGCACGGCACACGAATTTTGATAGCCAATAGATGAATTTAAATGGGGATAACATAATATCATCAATACACAATCAAGAACATAATTAGCATCGATATTCTAGATTTACCAATACACCAATCTAACCACCGACGTATTCCCAGCATTGTGAGCTACCAGTAAATGAAGGCCCAATGAGTAACTAATAACTATATGGATATTTGGATGGCCATCTCCTTTCCTCAACGAGGCATGTGAAAGTAGTCCGTTTCACGACCTTGTGGTATTTTATACGCCAAGGTCGAATATCGATCAAATATTGTCTGGTCGTTTTGTGTGTACTATGGTAGGCTTAGGACCCAGAGCGATGTCCTCTACCACCTCTACCGTGATACCGGGCTGATTGTTGTGTGCCGCCAAAACTTCGTACATCTCACCTGAAACACAAGAGAAGCCCACATTGTTATTCCACCTCGTGGATAGTAGAGAGACCAATAAAAACAAGGCTGGTGAGCAATGAACACATCGCAGTTTACACCAGTAATGAAGCATCATTCATTAGTTAACAGTTGTATAGGTCTGAAATGACGTGGCTGTTTCCACGTGCACTGGGAGCTGGTTCCGGTCTATTGTTGTTTTTGTACAAAATGAATGACTTAATAGTTCTGTGGTGCATATAGAAAGAACAGATGGAAACATATGGTGAGTCAGCCTTGCCCTATTGCATTTACACTTATAACATTTGTGAATTTTTTGCCATTAACCTTCCTTTTAGTCACCTAACCACACCTAACCTAACCTTCCTTAACCTCCCTGTCATTTTTACAATTTTCTACAGGGAGGCGTGTGAAATAACCAATTGATCGCTATGGAGAAAGCTGTGAGTTTAGTTTGGGGTTGGAAGGTTTACATTGGCTAGCATCTTATTCTACTATGACATTCTCCTTGGATCCATAGATGCATATTAATATGTTATGAAACAAGCAGTCCAGGTTGCACTCGTTCCCGGCCCCCCCACTCCGAGGTCGGAAGGACCGCATGCGCGTTCCCAAATCTCCGGTAAAGGGGTATTTTTCGCGCGACAAAATCCGGCCCAAGAATTGTAAAAAAAGGGTTGTATTTGACTTTTCACCCGGAGATTTCTATAAAAAGAGGGTGTTTTTCCTCTCTCTCTTTCATCTTGAATATCATAGAAAACTTTATCAAATCCCGGGATCAAATTCCTGAAATTCCTGCTAGTTTTGAAAGCTCATTCAGGATTATTTCATTCAGTTTACACTACGTAGTGTAGACTGGTACCCGGTCGACAGTTCCACACGCTACATTAACGTCACTACGTCAGTGTAGCGAAGGATACGTACCGGAGTGAAGGTGGCGAACGGGTACCAGTCTATATGTAGTGTTCCGGATTTAGGGGGTTCTCCAAGGCAGGAAAAACCCGCAAAAAGCCCGCGAAAGGAGGGTTCAGAAATTTTGGCAGTCCTGAGATAGGGGGGTGCTTTCAAAGGGAGGGAACGAGCATATGCGTACCCTAAATAACACCGAGTGAGGGGGGCCGGGCACTCGTTCCAGCTCGTCTTTAAGTAAGGATCCACCACCACTACACCATACTCCACCAGACCGGTGCTATATCTGCTATCACGTTGTATGATTCAGGATAGAAGGTCAAGATTTGTCTAAAAAGTGATGAGACTGCATTGGGTGGTTTTAGTGATATGAGGGCTCCAACTCAGATTTTAAGAGGTAGTCAGCCAGAGGTACGGGTGTTTAGCTGCTTGCTTTAGGATCTGGTTGTTTAGAGGACAGAAGGGGATTGACTTAAAACAGTTGCTTATGATAGTACATTTTACACTCTTTGACGGTGGGGCAACGTTGATATATGATGAAGGAGAGGGAGAAGAAGAGGAAGTGTGTGGGAGGGAGAGACCATACCTGAGAGTTAGAGAGACAGAAAGAGAGCGTACTTGAAAGAGGTGGAGAGGGAGAAAGATACAGAGAGAGAGAGAAAGAGAAAGAAAGAGAGAGAGAGAGAAAGAGAGAGAGAGAGAGAGAGAGAGAGAGAGAGAGAGAGAGAGAGAGAGAGAGAGAGAGAGAGAGAGAGAGAGAGAGAGAGAGAGAGAGAGAGAGAGAGAGAGAGAGAGAGAGAGAGAGAGAGAGAGAGAGAGAGAGAGAGAGAGAGAGAGAGAGAGAGAGAGAGAGAGAGAGAGAGAGAGAGAGAGAGAGAGAGAGA